CTGATTCTTTGTAATTCCATTTGAGGTTTTCTTGGAAAAGACATTGGAGTGGTTTGCTATTTCCTTCTCCAACTCATTTTACAGACAAGGGAACTGAGGCAAATAGGATTAAGAGACTTGCCCAGGCTCACACAGCTGGTAATTTCTGAGGCCAGATTTGACCTCAGAAAGATGAGTCTTCCTGGCTCCAGCCACTCTACCTACTGTGCCGTCTAGCTGCCCTGAAAAATCTCTTAGAAGATGATTAGTTCCCTTCTTTAAAACAACACAACTTAGAAGTCTGAATTAAATCCTCTCCCCTTCTTTTCTACTCAACTATCCCTTCTTTTAAGCCCAAAACAACAAGAGTGGAATGCTTTTTTCCTAGGTCAGAGGCTATGATTCCTCAGTACAAAGCATAATTAAATCCCTCTCCCCTTCATACTGTGTTTGAAGTGATGGGATATATTGACTTCTGGGAAGGGCTAACCAGTCCTAATCAACCAACATCTTTACTGGGAAACAAGATCTTGAAATCATTCACCTGAGGTGAGTCTGCAGCTAAAAGCGAGCCATATCATCCTTTCCATACAGAACACAGACACCAGAGACACAACTTATTTTTCATTCCTTCCTAAACTGTCTTTATAATTTGAAGGCTAAGAACTCCTAGCCAAAATATGTATTTGGGGGCAGTTAGGTGGTGCAGTGGACAGAGCACCGGCTCTGAAATCAGGAGGACCTGAGTTCAAATCTGGCCTCAGACCGAACACATAACACTTACTAGCTGTGTGACCCTGGGCAAGTCACTTAACACAATTGCCTTAAAAAAAGAAAAAGAAAAAACAAAACAAAATATGTATTTGATCTCCACAATATGTTTGAAGCTACTCTTAGTCTACACAAGTTCCTACAATGCTCAGAAAATGGGGTGTCGAGAGTCGATCAGTTTCTAGTTCACTGTGGCTAGAGATACTATCTTTCTGGATGCTATTTAAAAAGGAAGCAAAAATGGGGAAAAGATAAAATGAAATAATGGTCAGGTGCTGATATGCATATTTATTTGATTATGTGAATACAGGCATGAATCCCTCATTCTTGAAGTTCTGGTTTTGAGTTTCACTGAGTCACACATTATTCAGCTGTGTCTACTAGATCACATAGAAGCAGATGATACACAGCTGTACTTCCAGTTCCTGCACATCCTATGAAGCAGATTGACATTTTACCTAATTATCTCTGTGATGTTTAATCATGGATGTCTTCATGGCAGTGGCGGGGGGGGGGGGGGGGGGGGGGGGGGAGGGGAAGGGTAAGGGAGGGAGCCACACAAATCTGATATTCAGAGCTTTGGCTGTCTTCAAATTGTAATGTGGAACAGAAAAATTACAATGAATTGCTACTGATGAATCCATTAAAGCTCCAGGTAAAGATGCTGAGAGATAGCTTTTTTTAAAAAAAAGTTATTTAGCTAATATAATGCAACGTCTACATGCACTGTATTGTGGGACACACTCTTTTTAAGATGACTCTTTAAAACATGGCAACTGAAGATGTAATTCAGTTAATGATGGTTTTTAACTTAAGTGGTATCTTCAAAAACGCAAACTAAAATGAAATCTACTGGACTTCCGCTGGCTTGCTGCTTAAACTGTAATTTTTACCATCACTTAGGTGTGCCTACAATATTCTGGGAAGCAAACATATGTTTTAAAAAGAACCAACTGGTGAATAAAGCAGTAAATGTCTGTTCTCAGTCCCCAGGTTTACTTCTGAAGGTTTTATCAATGTTTCAAACCAAGAAGGTTTATCACCTTCCTTATTTTAAATGTCTGTATTAAGGGTTATGATTTTATGATGATGGTGATTTCTTACTACTATTTATGAGATATAGCATTATCACCCATGGAGAGAGAAGCCCCTTTTTTCAGGAATTATGACACGTAGGCCATCTTTGCTCCATTTTACAACATTCCCTTGTAACACCTCCACTGGGAAAAGCCCTCCACATCATCTAAAAGTTTACAGTAGATGAAGCTTACTATACTTTTTACAGGATTTTTTTATTGCCCTAAAAATCACAGGAGGCACAGTGCATTTTCTCTGTATCTACTTCTGTCTCTCTCTGTCTCTGTCTAGCATTCATTCAAACTCATACATACACACATGCATATGGATGTAACTGAATTTTTAAAAGATTTTTTAAAAATATTTTTTTCATAAGTAGACCATGGCCTGGTTATTGTACAACACAATCTATTTTCATTTTTTTCTCTTTGAGTATTCCCTCTAAATTTCATCAAAACCAATGGGATCTACCTATAAAAGTTTTTTTTTTCCAGCTCTTCATGATAATAATATTTTTATGAAGACAGGTAGGTGGTACATTGGATAGAGGGCTGGACCTGGAATCAGGAAGCCTGGAGTTAGAATTCAGAATCAGATAACTACTAGCAGTATGAACCTGGGTAAATCTCTTAAACTGTCTTCCTCAGTTTCCTCATCTGTAAAATACAGATAATAAGAGCACCTACCTCCCAGGGTTTTTTGGGAGATAATGCACTTCTGCAAACCTTAAAATACTATATAAAAGCTCACTATCTTTAATATCGTTAACTGTTATAGTAAACTGACAGGTGGTATGCTATCATTTATTGTTTTTTTTTCTGTCTTTCTAGATCACATTCTTTAAAAGTGTTCCTGGCCTGTCTAATGAAGTGTGGAAAGGGAATATTCTATCTTCTGTCCTGGACATCCTTTCAGCCCGTTTTAAGGTGTTGTGTTGATTACAAGGGCAGATGTTTGTTTCCCAAACCAACTCTAGAGGAGCTAAGCTAGGATTATGCTAATTTATATGAATGTATGTAGGTGCATAAGATAAAAATTGTCTTCATACACATAATGCATATGCATCTTGAAAGTCAGTTTTCAAATCCTTGAAATAATGTATACATATAATCATGTATATTCTATTCCAATGTATATACATAAACATTATTATTAGAATGTAAACTTCTTGAGAATAGGAATTATATCCCCCAGATCCAGCCCAGTAGTTTGCACAAAGCAGGTGATTAATAATTACCTTTTGATTGATGGATGACTTATTCATGGTAAAGGTGGAGAAATTTTAGTGTGCATGTATTTTGATGGCCATAGTTTCTCTGATTAACTTCCAATCAACAGGCTTCTCTTAAAGGAATCCTATGCTGTAATGAGGAGGAAAAGCCTGCTACTGACTAGTTATGTGACCTTGTTCCAATCACTTAATCTCTGTGTTCCAGTTAAAGTATGTATAAAGTCAGAGGTTGGACTACATGCTTCCTTTAAGGTTCTTTCTGACTCCTAATTTCTTTGAATGTATAAATTCAAATAGAAAACTACAATAAAGAAATCAGTATAAGGAACAACGAACCTGGAAGCAAAGGACCTAGATTTGAGTGTCAGCTCTGACCTTTACTGCTCTAAGACTCAGTTTTCTCATCTGTCAAATGGGGATGATACTTGTACTATTACTGCATGGGCCTGTTATGAGGAAAGCACATTATAAATTGTAAAGTACCGCATCAATGTGAAATGTGAAATTTTCTTTGTAAATCACAAAAATATACAATCTGAATTAAAATTCACTCTCAGCTGATACCACTCTCACAATTCAAAATGAATTCTATATTTGGAGTACTCCCCTCTGTTTGTTACATGTTGATTTCCACAATGATCCAATTCAAACTTTCAAGTCTTTCAGACAAAATTACCCCTTTGTACATGAGCGTTGTCCAAATCATTCCATACAAGAGACTTCTTGCTCAAATTCTAAAACATCCATATTGCAAAATGAACAAGTCAGTGGCTGGGAGTACCCATTCTCCTTTCAAACCATGGCCCTCCTTTTTGGGCATGCTCTTTGTGGGTTAGCAGTTACCAGCATGGAACAGTGGTCAAAGGCCTAGGAATTACTGTTAACTCAGCAGGACAAACCAAGTGAGGGATGGAAAAGACCAAAGCATGAAGTAGATGGGCAAAAGCAGGAATAAAGAGGTAAGTCTGTGATGACGAAGAAAAGCAACTGGCTTGGGGGGGGGGAGGGAAAAAGGGAGGGAGATAGCAACGCAGTCAACTAGCAGTGATTACATCTTAAAAATGGGGGACATTATTTGCCGTGAGGTTTTGTTGTGTCCTGTTTTCCAGACAGGGTGCTTAAGCAGCCATATCTTTAAATTGCCTGTCTATAACAGCTGCTTCTGCTGCCACCACAGAAAGAGAAATTATATCTTTCAATCCTTCATTTTATCCCTCTTACCTATAATCCTCTAGTTCCAGTCTGTCTGACCACTTGACAAGGCTTTTTTTAATTAGTGTGGCTTTTGGGGGGGGGGGGGTGGCTTTTAAATATGCTCTACATATACAGAAGAGTAGACAGCCTTGGAAATTCTTGATGAGAAGAAAAATATCCTGCTGGGAATATAAAATGGCAAGCAGAGCATGGAATAATGATTCTCATAATTGAGATTGTCATGTGCCTTATTAGAAGCCATCATTTACCTGGGGGTCTGGCTTGATATATGCTAAGATATTTCACACGTTTTACATAAGGGGTTTTTCAAAGTCCCACTGATTTATTTTAGCATCTGTATTGTTTTGTTAGGGCCTCCAAAAGGCTTCTAGGTTTTCTTTTGAAATTGGAAAAAAAAAAGTGAGGATGAAAGCTGCCATTCACATCCAGAGCTGCACTTGGTGGCACCCAAGATACTTATAATAACTGCCCTGATGAGACAGGTGGAGCTTTTTACAAGTGCCAGGCTCTTCTAATGGGTATTTAGGAACCTGGCTGCTCTGTCACCCAATGGATGTGGCATGTACTTGATGAAAGGCAGTAAACAACATTAATTATGAAAGATATCTGTTAACGAGGAGAACGGAAAAGACAGATTATTCATCTATGTGTGTTGTGATACAGCTTTTCTTTGAAAAGGAGACAGAATAAAACATCTTGAGGTAGGTAGTTTAAGGAAATGGATCACCTGAGTCATTTTCTGATTTTCAGCACAGCTGAACCTTGGAGATCTCACAATACTTCAACGGCTTCTGTGTGACAGGCATGGGTCAAAGTGTCTTCAGCTAACTTTGTCTTCTGGTTGGAATATTTATTATGATTCCTAAACAAAGCTAAAAAAAAAAGGTGGATAAGAGTTGGAAATCAGGCTGAAGCTCAGGAATGGCTAAGGAAATAAGCTCAAATGGATGCTGGTATTAATGTTGGTGTCACTGAAGGGCTCTAACTTCTCATAGATTCCCCATTTTCAAGGGCTTCTTATGGACCCATAAAAATCCTCTCCACCAACAAATGTAAAGTATCTTCTTGAGAAACTCTTAAAAGGATAAACTAAATGATTTTGGCCATATATTCCCAATTGATTTTAAGGTTGGTTTCTTTCTTTCTTTTTCTTTCTTTTTTCTTTCTTTCTTTCTTTCTTTCTTTCTTTCTAATAGACTTACAAAAAAAATTAAATTCACATTTCCATTGTGCTTTAAAATTCCCAAGTACTTTCCTCTCAATAGCTGTGTTATGTAGGTAGTACAAGTGTCCTACGAATTTTACATCCACTCTACAGATGAAGACACTGAGTCACTCAGAGGCCTCACATGTCTAGGAAGTTTCTGAGGAGCAAGTTACATCCATATCTCCAAGTTCTAAGTTCAGCATTATATATCTATATATCAGCTTTAGAAACATCCTGAATTTGAATTTAGTAATATTAAAATAAATGTATGCAAGGATTACAAATTATATTTAGGAGAAATTTATTGTTTGTTTAGTGTGGCTCTTAAAAAATTGAATTTGAAGTTCCTTGAGAGGAGGAAATATGTGTTTCCAGGTTATTTCTGAATAGTCCATTTTATTCATGTTACAACTATTTTATATGACATATTGATGGGGAGATTGTGGAGCTTTCATGTAGAAAAATGTTTGAGACTGCCATGTTATAGATCTTTAAAGTTATTTTTAAGTCATCCTAATTTATTGAGTTAAAATTATTTAAAGATGTTTCTCCCCATGATGCTAGGTCCAGGAATTGTAGAGAGTACTGACATCTTGGAAAATATTGTTAAGTGGCTATATTCAATATATGGAAACACATTTATTCATTTGACCTTCACAGAACCATCAGTAGTGTAGTGTACCTTTTCCTATGGCTTATTTTGTTCCATACTTGCCATTTTAAGAATATACTGCATTATACTATTATTTCACAAACTCTACGACCTGGTTTTCTCATTTTCTCCAGTGTTTGTCAAACTGTGGAGGAAGAAAGTGTATCTGAAAAGACAGTAAGTGACTTGGAGTCAGAAGAACTGGATTCAAGACTTAGTTTTGTCATTCAATAGCCTTGAGCGAGTAAATAATTTTCCTTCTCTGACTTTTAGTATTAACTGCTGCCAAATTAGGAAGTTTAACTAGATGACTTCTCTGTAATGCTTTTAAGAAAGGTATGGTGGAGAGAGCTCAAAACAGCTGCCAAGATCCAGTTGTTAAATGTTCTGAGTGAGCATTGCCACTTGGGGAATTGACCGACTAAAAATCAACATTTGATTTATTTTTTTATTTATTGTCTAGACTTAAGAAAGTGATAAGAAAATGTTAATGATATAGATTGTTTAAAAGTTTTTCCCTGTATATTTTTTCCTTCAGAGAACTAATCATTAATCATTAATCAGCCCACTGCTGTTTATCATTCATAATAATAATAGTAATAATAACAACCACAGACTGTATAGCATTTTGCGTATTATATCTCAATAACTCTAAGAAGTAGGTACCACAGGCATCACCCACAATTTGTAGATGAGGCTTAAAGAATTTAAGTGATTTGTACATCATCACAAGCTTGTCAGAAGCCAAATTAAAACCTGAATCCTTCTGATTTCACATATAGCACTAGATCCCTGATATTTGATCCATGGACAGGAATAAGATTTCTCACTTTCTGAAAGTTGACTTTTTAAGTCTTTAGCAATTATTCATATATCTCTAAATGTTCTTACCAAAAGTACCTCCCTCCTTAGCTTTGCACCCAAATAACTCACAAACCCCATTCCTTGCTGATCTTCACCTCCCTCTCTTACATACACTCATTTTAGCGATAAAATATTATTAAAATGCAGGCAAAGGCAAGAAATCATATACATATGTGTGTACATATATTATATATATATATATATAGTTGCAATCTATAATTTTTTATTTTTTACAATTGTATTGTAAGACCCAAATTTAATATTATTTCATTAGAGGTGATATGAAAAAAGTATTTTTTTTCAGTTCACCTAATCAGCTCTTTCAAAGGGTGATTTATGTTAGATATGGGGAAAGTGTTCCTAACGGATATACCCAAAATTGGAATAGGTTGACTCAGGAAGTAATGGATTCCCCTCTCAATGAAGGTCTTCAAGCAAAAGTTGGACAATCACTTAAAATGTGTGTTCTAGCAATGATTCTTTTATCAATCAATAAGCAGTGTTTCATGATGAGGAAGTTGGACTACATGGCCACATCGTCCCATCTAACCACGAAATACTGAGATTCTGTTATTTGGAATTATAGACAACTTGCATGATTTACTTTACACATTTGATTCATTGCTTGATTACTGTGTAGGTGTGCCAATTTTCACCTATAATAGGACTCAGAACTTTTTTTTGCTAAATTATCAATTCAGTTCAGTCATTTTTCATGTGCAAGTGTGTGAATGAACATTGAGCTCTTCAGTATCCTTTTGGATACTTCCTCCAAGGTACTTGCTTAGGGTGAGATGTTATTTAATGATTCAAAATATTAAATGCCAAAAGTACTGATTGATTTATGATCCCAAATCCCCTATTTCAAAAGACATAGAAATGCAAAACAATTTGTATATTACACTTGAGATAATGGCTAGTATAAGCAAATATATTTCTAAGCTTGATTGTAAAATTAACATTTATAGAGTCAGAAGTACAAAAGTATTTTGTTGTTTCCTTTTATCTTTCCATGTATACCGACTCTAAAATGAGGAGAGAAAGAGAAGGAGCAGGAGGAGAAGAGGAACAGGAAGAAGGAGGAGAAAGAGAAGGGGGGAAGAAGAAGAAGAAGAGAAGAAGAGAAGAAGAAGAAGAAGAAGAAGAAGAAGAAGAGGAGGAGGAGGAGGAGGAGGAGGAGGAGGAGGAGGAGGAGGAGGAGGAGGAAGAAGAAGAAGAAGAAGAAGAAGAAGAAGAAGAAGAAGAAGAAGAAGAAGAAGAAGAAGAAGAAGAAGAAGAAGATTAACATTGGGTTTTTTTTTGTTTTTTTACTCTATATGACACATTTCATTATTCTCATCAAGGGTCTAAAGTTTCAGTGGGAAAGCCAGGGGAAATTTTTCATTGTGCTAATGAATACTACCTCTTTAGCATGAGAGTATAGGCTAAGGGGAATATTATAATGAACCACTCTTACATATGTATGCTCATTTAGATGTGTACATTATTAAAAGTGAACACAAATTCCCTTGTATATCATGTACAGATAAAGTTCATTAAGTCAAAAAACTAAAGAAGAAAAGTTAGTCTCAGATACAAATACTATTGCTGGGGTAGTAATGCATTTAAAGTTCATTGTATTAGAATAAAACCTCAGTACAGTCACAGCTACTGTCTATTATTCATAATAAAATCAATGTTTTACTCGGTGCTCTTTTGTTAGGACTTTGAAGTAATTAGGTGCTTAATTTTTGTATGTGTGTGTTGTTTCAAGTGGTTGCAGAAGTTCAGCATTGTAAGGAACTATGGGGGGAGGGAAGAAAATAAGAATCCGAATATGTTCTCCACTGACCCTTGCAGTGAATTTTTTAAAAATGTGGTAAAACATTTTTTTCAATTAAAATATCTCCAGCGCAATTTTTTGGTCTATTACCCCTGACAGCCATTGTTAATTATATTTTTAACCTGTTAATCATATAACATTTTCCAAGGCTTGTTAATCTTACTCTAAGATTTTTTTCTGAAAGTGTGCCAGTTTAGTAAGAGGGTAGATTTTATTGAATGGAAACAGGCATGTAGACAGCCTCCAAGTAAAATAATGAGGGTTTTGCTGGAAGCTTTGTGATAATATTAGGTATTGATGAACATTAATTGTCAGAATTGTGGATATGGGGGGATTTAATTAAAAAGCAGTTTTTCTATTCCTTGTAAATTCTTCTATTTGTATAAATGGGGAGAAACTCACCTTGCAAGTTCTTAAGATCTGTGCAAGACAAATAAGGTGGCTGAAATCAGATCAGACTTATCAAATGCCAAAGTTAACTTAAAAACTACCCTCTAATTTAAGGCTCTCTTTTTAATCTCTTAGGGTTGCTGATTCCAACCCCCACCCCATGAATTTTAAATAATCAAAAACACATGTGAACTAGATGAGTCTCAGTTCCACTTGACAAGAGCTGAAAATCTCTCTCTCCCCCTCTCTCTGTCTCTCTGTCTCTCTGTCTCTGTCTCTGTCTCTCTCTCTGTCTCTCTCTCTCTCTCTCTCTCTCTCTCTCTCTCTCTCTCTCTCTCTCTCTCTCTCTCTCTCTCTGTCTCCCCCCTTCCCTCTCTCCCCCTCTCCCCCCCTCCCCACACACCCTCTCTTCATTTATCCCTCTCTCCTAACTTAACTTTTCTTCAAATGAAATCCTGTTCTTCCTTTGTGTTTCATCTGAGTCCTCCTGCACACAGTGACATCTGACTAGTGCAGTGTGAAGTTAAATCAGAGAACATCACTTCTGGATGCCAGTAGCAGGAAAGGAACAAGCCAGGAACCCTAAGTTCACCAGCTAAAACTTGCAAGCTTGGCAAGGTTTGAATGCCAAGGTTTAAATCTCTAATAAACCTCTCACCGCATCCCCATGATACCCTGGGGGTGAGGAGTGGAGAATCTTTTTATAGGAAACACATTCACAAGGATTTAATACTATCTTGCTAAACCTTTCTGTGGAATAGTTTTTACTTCTCGCCATACCCCATTCGCTCCCCCGCAACACAGTCACATTATGTATGCACTATGGGGTGATCCAGAGTTAATTCCTAGTGGCAAAGCACTGTATAATCAGTGGAGGTTTCTTTGGAGTTTGAGGCTTTTTTCCTCCTCCCTTTTGGTGAACATGTGCTTCAGACTT